CAGCCCTTTGGAACATGTACTAGTACTGTCCCACTAATGGTGAGGAAGTTGGGGACCAGAAAAGTAGAACTAGGCCCCCATCACAAGGAGGTGAGTGGAGTGGAACCAGGACCCAAATCCATGCCTGTCAGACCTCTACGCCCTCTGGCACCTGCCACCTTGCCTTAACAAATTGCTCAGCCACTTGGAGAGAGTGTCCTCACCTATACAGACAGCATCATACTCACAGTATACCTGTGAGCTATAAATACTGTTGGACAGGGACCAGCAGTTAGCGTAATGGCGATGTTGCTGGACTCCCATGTAGCTGACTGCAGTTCGAGTCCCAGACCCGGTGGCTTAAACTCACGCTGGGCACATGTGCGTGTGTGCCCAAGATCCTGAGAGGAGAATGGAGAAGGGGTGGTGGCGTGACCATCCTCCCCAGGGGGTGATTTCTCGCTTTCTGTCTCTTTGTCTCTCTCTTGTCTCTCTGGCGAGTGCACGCGCCCTATAGCAAAAAACAGAAAACAAACAAACAAAACTGTGGAACAAATGCGTGAGTGAGAGAATGAGTGACTCACTCACCTCAGGATGCGTCCAATTGCTCATCTAGTGAAACCCTGTAGAGCTCTGCTGTGGACCAGGCCCAAGGAAGCTTTAATCCTCCTCTCCATGAGCTGAGCACCTGGGAGCATTTCAGTCGAACTCTCCTGCCCTCACTGGCTCCGGCTCTTTTTGTTTGTTTGTTTTGTTTTGCATATTTTTTAGGTGTTTGCCATTGGGTGTGCATTCACCAGAAACAGACAGAGAAAGTGAGAAGTCGCCACCCACCCAGGGGGATGGCCATGCTGCTATCCCTTTTACTCCATTCTCCTCTTGGTATTTTGGGCACACATGCACACACACATCCAGCACAATTTTTTTTCTTTATTTTTTTTTTTAGAGAAATTTTTGTGATAGGGTACATGCACTCACCAGAGAGACAGTGAGCACAGAAAGTGAGAAATCACCTCCCAGGGGTTATAGCCACACCACACCTCTTCTCCTCCAATCTCCTCTTGGGATTTTGGTCATGCACGCATACTCACCTGGCATGAGTTTTTAAGCCGCCGGGTCTGCGACCAGAACTATGGTCAATTACATGGGAGTCCAGCAACATAACCATTATGACATCAGCTGGTCCCCGCAAGCACAATCTTCAAAGCCTATCTTGAATAAGGAAACTTGACTTCTAGAGTTATAAAGAAATTGCCACCAGATCAAAGACAGCAAATAAATATAAGTCAAAATACTCAACAAGTGAGAGAATTAGTTGGGAGTGTTTACTCATTGCTATGCTGACAAGACATTTTAACTAAATGTAGCTTCATGGATCTGTGTGTTTCTAGCTCTTAAAGCCACTGTGGTTTATGCATCAAATCGTTTTTCCTAATTGAGGACAGAGAAAGGTCAACTTAATTCTTTTTCTTTTTTCTTTCTTTTTTTTTTTTTTTTCAATTACACTTTTGCCATAGGGTGCATGTGCTCACTAGAGAGTTAGAGGAAGACAGTGAGAGGGAAAGTGATAAATCACCTCCAGGGAAATGGCCACACCACAATCCCATTCTCCTCTCAGGATTTGGGCACGTATGCACACAAAACCAGCATTATTTTCAAGCTGTTGGGTCCCCAACTCAGACCATGGTTGGCTATGTGGGAAGCCAGCACCTTAACTCCCATGCCACCTGTTGGCCCTGAGGTCAACTTATTCCTCTTTTTTTTGAGAGAGAGATTTTTGCTGTAGGGCATGTGCACTTACTGGAGAGACAGAGAGAGACAGAAAGTAGTGAGAAATCACCCCCTAGGAGGGATGGCCATGCCTCAATCCCTTCTCCTCCATTCTCCTCTCAGGATTTTGGGCACACACACACGTGCACCCAGCCTGGGCTTTAAGCCGCCTGATCTGGGACTTGAACTGCAGTTTACTACACGGGAGTCCAGCAATGTAACCATTACGCCACCTGCTGGCCTCAAGTTCAACTTATTCTTAAGTCTTTTTTTTTGCTATAGGGTGTATGTGCTAGCCAGAGAGAGTGAGGGGGAAAATGGGAATTCACCCCCAACACACACACACACACAACACAGAGCAGGGATGGCCATACTGCAATCCCTTTTCCTCCATCCCTCAGGATTTAGGGTACACACACACATGTAGCCAGTGTGAATTTTTCAAGCTTCTGAGTCCAGGACTTGAATCATAAAGTTGGCCATGTGGAATCTAGCTGCCTTAACCTCCATGCCTCTTGTAAGTAGAACATATTTATTGATTTACCAATCAATAGATAGATGGATAGATATTTACTACATGTACATACATAAATATTACAGGCTATGTTTTGTCAAGTCCTTATTATATGTGTTATGCATAGTTATGTATCTTACAGATCTTATCTCATTGCATCCCCCAGTAGCTCTATAAAATACCTGGCACTATGCCCATTTAGATGGTAAACCGAGTCTCAGAGAAGCTTCAGTGACACAGCCTTGTCTAAAGTCATATAGCGTATGAGCAACAGACCTTGCTAAATCCAAGGGTCTATTCCAAATCCCATTTGACACTCCTTGATCTTCAAAACTCTCTTCATTTTCCTTAGGATCCTTCTTCTGCAGCCATGACCCCTCCCTGACCTTCAGATGCGAGAACCAGATACCCATTCAGTTTTGCAAATGTCTAATAGTGATCTCAGAACTAAAGCTCTGGTTGCACATCGCCTACCCAGACTGTTCCTCTGAAGTCTTCCCCATCTCCATAGATGGAAACTGCATCCTTCCAGCAGTCTAGCCGAAAACCTTGCAGGCCATCTTTGACTCCTGTCTTACTCCACATCCACTCCACCTAGCAAAACCTGCTGGCTCCATCTTCAAAATACATCCAGAACCCAAACACCTCAATGCTTTTTCTCATCACATGCATTGCTTCCACCATTGTCCAAGCCACCACGGTTCTCTTGCTTAGACGATTGTCACAGTCTTCTAACTGGTTTCACTTGGCCCTTGCTCCCAAAGTTCATTCTCAGCACAACATCCTAGAGTGATCAACTAAGGTGACGTCGGAGCACATCACTCCTCTGCTCCACGCACTCAGAGTCAAAGCCAAAACCCCCTCTGTGGTCTCAAAAGCTCAGATGCACTGCCTTATAATTAACTCTTTTTTTCAATTGTCAGAGGGTGTGTGCACTTGCCAGAGAGAGAGACAGAGCGTGCGAGAGAGAAAGAGAAAGCAATCTCCCATGGGCTGTGGTCACGTCGTAACTCCTTCTTTTCCATTTCTCCATCTTGTTGGGATTTGGGACTTGGATGCACACATGCCTGGAGTGTTTTTCAAGCCGTTGGGGCTAGGATTCAAACTGCAGTCAGCCATGTGGACTCCAGCTCCCTTAACCACCAGGCTACAGGAGCAGCCCCCCTCAACTAGCTCTTGACCTCACTTTTTACTACCCTCTCTTTCGCTTACTCTGTCCCAGCCCCCTTGCTGATCTTGGAACACACCAGGCGTGGACTATCTCAGGGCCTTTACTCTGCGGTATCCCTGCAGGAGTGCTCCTCCAGATAACACGTGGCTTGCTCCCCCCTTTTCCCTGATCTCTGAGCAGATACCATCAGGCTGACCAAGTCTTCCCAGATCACTCCCCAGCCCCCTCACTTGCTCTGCTGTCTGTCCACAGATTAACTATCCGACATTCTGTCTGTCTGTATGCTTCTTCCTTACCTGTCCCCCTAATAACCACTATAGTATAAACTCCAGCTGGGCAGGACTTTGGGCTGTTCCCTGCTGTCTCTCAGCATCTGAAATAGTCTGACACTTAGTAAGTGAAACATAACATTTACTGAAAGGGACACAGCAGCCCTGGCTGCCCAGCCTCCCGCTTTGTGCATCTTATCCTTCCACCCAAAATCTTCTTCCCACTGAGCCATGGCTTCCCAGCTTAGGTCAGCACTGGATGAGCATTCCATCTGTAGCATAAGGCTCTGGGCTTATGCTTGAAAAACACCATAGACACGTGTGTACATGCCCAAAGTTCTGAGATGAGAATGGAGGAAAAAGGATTGCAATATGTGTCTGTCTCCCTCTCTCTCCAGCAAGTGCATATGTCCTACAGGAAAGAAAATAAAATTAAAATAATAAAATAAAATAAAACCTGTCTCTGTCTCGTTCCCTTTTCTTCTCTCCCTCTCTCCGTGGCCACGGATGACTGCAGAGACCCCTGTGGCCCGGGGCTCCTGCCTTCTGTCTTCGGAAGCCCAGCTCTCCTCTCCTGGGCCCACTGCTTTTGTTTCTTGTTCCTGTGTAGCTAGAGTTTTCCAGGAATCCTCTCCCTATCCCTGAGGCCCAAGTAACCAGACAGACCGGGGCGTTGGGGGCCAGCTTTAATCACCACCACCAGTGGCAGCAACAGGAAGTGCGTACCAGAGGCTTGACATCCCTGACCCACAGGGAAACCGCGGGGCTGGGTACTAGGGAGTTTCCTAGGCCCTGGTGAAAATACTCATTTCTTATAGCCAAAGGGAAAGGAAGAGAAAAGTAATATTCTCTCTTAGTTCTGAAGATATTAACATAAACACTTCATTTCTCATGCGGATAATATTATTCTATTGATTATTCAAAAGAGAAATAATGCCAATAGTATAAATCATTCTGCAGAAGAGCAGAATGGGTTGAATAGAATTGCACACCCAGGGGGACCAGCAATTGGCGTAATGCTATGTCGCTGAACTCCCATGTAGTCAACCATGGTTCGAGTCCCGGACCTGGCTTAAACTCACGCCGGGCACATGTGCATGCGTGCCCAAGATTCTGAGAGGAGAATGGAGGAGAAGGGATTGTGAAGTGGCCATCCCCCATGGGGGGTGATTTCTTGCTTTCTGCCTGTCTCTCTCTGTCTTTCTGGTGAGTGCATGCGCCCTATAGCAAAACAAAACAAACAAACAAACAAACAAAAACTCTCAAAAAAAAAAAAAAAAGCACACCTAGGCTTTGGAGTTCTGGAGTGGAGAGGCCATAGAGATGTTGGAGACAGGGCGGGAGCGGGGAGGCTCATTAAACTGAGTATGGGGTTGGTGGACTGAGTTGCCATGGAAGATAAATCTTTCTAAAAGATGGCAGAGCTCAAGAGAAGAAGCCAGAAAGAAAGGCAGTCAGATTCTACAATATAAAAACACTTCCTACATGAGAACCAAAGGGGCAACTCATATGAATAATGTAGGTCATTGTTCTTGGTCGGATCCCTTCTTCTCTATCTGTCCTCTGTCCTTCCAATACATACTACAAAGTTACTGACTGATCCTGCAAAGTTACATGTCTGCAGCCTCACCCCTTTCATTGCACGAAGCTGCAGACTTAGTCTATAATTAGGCAGAGTGATTGCAGGGCCCTCGGAAACCTACAAGCTGAAAGCATCCGGGTTCCTGGCTGGAAGAGACACTCTTCCTGGCTGGAAGGGCACTCACAGGGCTTCTCTGCTGGGCTGTGTCCCCCACTTGCCCAGAAGGAACACCTTGGGAGAGCTGCCACTTTGGCCTTCGGGGACCTAAAAAATCAAAGAGGCAGAGCAGTTAGGAAAATGGAACCGACTCCCTGCAATCAGCCTTGCTGTGCACCTGGCTGGTCTACTCAAAGAGTCTCTCACTAACCTCTCCCTCCCGCCAGTCCCGGGAAATGCTTGAGAGACCACGCGCCTTAGCAATGCTGTAGGTGCACCAGTGTAACCAACAGACTGACAACTTCTGAGATAGAAGTGCGAGATGGGTCAACACAGCACGACAGGCTCCCGGGCCACCAGGCTGAGTGGAGACGCTGAGCAGAAGCTCCTTGGTGACTGAGGGTCCCTTCGAGACTGTGGGGAGCCTGAGAGACCAGTGGGGTGGGGGTCAGCAAAGCACATTAAAGACAAGCGTGGCTGGCTGACGATTTTACTATGAGCCGGCCCCATCTTACCCTTTCTGCTTTGAAGAATAGCCAAACGTGCACTTAATTAAACATATACAACGTTCGTGCTTGGTCTACTCCCTGTTGTGAAATAAGCACATTTGTTACACAGAGGGAAGCCTGATATCTCCGAGACTTAGAACAGACTATTTACAACATTTCAGCTGTAGGACAAGGTGACCTTCAGATGACAAAGGGGCAATGCCTTGTGTGTGGCAAGGCAGGGGCTTTCAGAGGACATGAGCCACCCAGGCAACCACCTGGGATTTTACAAAAGGAAGACATTGCAAAACATTTTAGAAAAATGCATGTTTGTATATTTAAAATGTAGAAGCAGAATGCTTTTCTAATGCACACACAACCCAAATAATACAATTGTGCCATTTACTAGCAATGACATAAAACATCTGAAGATTCTTTCAAACACAAAGCCCAGTGACAATCCTTGCAACTAGGTGCCCCAGGTAGCAGAGGACATATTGACAGTATGCCCACTGCACTGGGCATCTAAGCCCTAGGACCAGACGGGTTGTGGGGCAGTGCCTCTGTACTCAGGAGATCTCGCACACTGGCAAAATGTTCGAGTTTCCATTCTTGACCAGGGCTTGCACCAAAGAGGAAGGAGGAAAAGGCAGACACTGAGCTGTCACCTCTGTCATCGAGAAGTGCTCCTCTACACCTTTGTGCTTTGCCACCCTAAAGTGAAGCGTTGATGTCTTTTATGATGATAAAAAGCACAGGCATGCACTAGACAGACAGAGAAGCAGCCTGGCAGAGTCTTGTCATGCTGTGATCCCCTCCCCCCAGCTCTGCCGCTCTTCAGGCCCCTTGGCACTCAGATGTATGGCCAGTACGTTTTTCAGACCAACTTGGTATTGGAGCCACAGTCATCAGGTGGCTTCCAGCCCTGCAGGGCCCTAGAGTTACCATTGCTCTACAGCAGCTGGACCTGCTAAATTATTATTTTTTCCTCATAGGGTGTGTGCACTTGCCAGAAGGAGACGGAGAGAGAGAAAGTGAAAAACCACTCCTCGAGGGGATGGCCACACTACAATCCCTTCTCCATTCTCTTTTCAGGATTTGGGGCATGCTTGCACATGTGCCTGGCATGATTTTCAAGCTGCCAGGTCTGGGTCTCGAACACAGGTGGCCATGTGGGAGTCCTCACCTAAACCACCACGCCACCCGCTGGCCCCCTTGCTATTGATTTTTAAAGGCAGGGACAAGACACTTTTTGAACATACTCACCCTCATGATTCTTATATCAGTGGATGCCTGACAAGTTCTTTTTGAGTTGAATTGAATTAATCAAGAAGCTACTATCAAGAACTCTTTGGGAGAGGGGGCAGTGGTGGCACGGTGATAAAATGTAACGCGGTAAGGCTGACCCACATGAGGAGGCTCCAGGGTCACATGTTGGGACCTCCCTGAATATGCCCAGCCATGTGTGCCTGTGATCTCAGGCTAGTCAAAGCTGGGGGTGGTTTGTGACATTAAGATCCTGTCTTTTGGGACCAGCAGATGGTGGAATGCTTACATTGCTGGACTATCACATGGCCAACTGAGGTTCAAGTCCTGGATCCGGCAGCTTGAAACTCACACCAGGTGCATGTGTGTACGTACCCAAAATTCCCAGAGGGAAATGGAGGAGAAAGGATTGCGGTGCAGTATGGCCATTCCCCTTCGGGCAGGGGTGGTTTCTTGCTTTCTGTCTCTGTCTCTCCAGCAAGCACATGCACCTGATAGCCCCCCCCCCAAAAAAAAGGCAAAACAAAACAAAAAGCACCCTGTCTTTGACTCATAGAAGAAATAAATAAATAAGCTTAAAAAAAGATATTTGGGATATATGATAATTTTATACCATCAGAGGGCCCCAAAACTGTTTTGCTTATTGGTCCCATCTGAGATAGCCCTGGTCAGATTTCCTGACTTCTTCCACCTCTGTCTAGTTCATCTAAAATACCAGCTAAATCGCAGCACGGGGGCTGGCAGCTGTCCCGCTCTGCAGCACTTCCGCCGCAAGCATACGCCGCACGCACATGAACCCTCACAACACAGTCTCGTACTCCCCCTCAGCTGGAGAACCAAGTTCGCAAATGGAGAACTCCACACGTGATCCATGAAACCTGATTTACCATGCCGAAGAGAGGCAGTCTCCTAACACAGGAAATGGGCTTGCTCCTGGCTAATTACAGATTTCACCCTGACTAGCTGAAGGTCACTGGATACATGGAATCAGCGGGACCCCTGAGAGGAAAGAAGGAGCTCACGGGGCACCGAAGTGCACCGAGACTCTACAGAGAGACCTCCCAACAAGGACAGAGACACGGATTATCAAGGCAGAGGCTCGTGAAGAACAAATGGGACCAAAACTCGTGGCTAAAGCATGTGGACTCCTGCCTGGGATTGTCACATCATTCTGTAACATCCCCAAAGGGTGAACACAGGCCAACCTGAAATGCTAAGAGAGCCTGACAGTCTTGAAAGTGGCCTAGATGCTGAGCTCACCATTGCTGGTCGGCTGTCCCTGCCTATTTCCTACCACCCTACCCCCAAGGATCATCTGCCCGCCCTGGAAAAACTGCCAAATTTCCTCAAATGACAGATAAACAAATGAATAATCGGGCCTACTCTAAGGAATGAGAACCAGCCTTGAAAGCCACAGTGCACACCTCTGCATTGCGACAATAGGGTGAGATAACCTGAGAGAGGACACAGATGCCAAAAGACAGAGACATTTCTAAGTACATGTTCTGTTTTTATTAGTTGAAACAAAATCCTGAAAAACTTTCCTGCCTGACGGAATAAAACTAGAACACCCATTCTGCAAGCCCCCTTGCTTGGTTTCCTTCTATGTCCTCAGGAGCCCTCTGCTGGACAAATTCTGAATTACAGCACTAATAACCGGACCCCGAGCAGCCAGGCTCAAGCTGCTTCGGTTTTCCAGAACTGAAAAGAAGAGGAACTATAAAAGACAGCTCATGTTTTCTCCCCTTGGCGCTTTTCCTAGTGACAGTTGTAAACCAGAGGTGCTGCAAACCAGCTCAAGGCAGCGCTCAGTTCCCAGAGCATCACTGCCTGGTGTCCAGTTAGCTTTGCTCAGAATCCTTAGGACCCCAACTCTGTGTCACCTCCCAGTTCCCAGTTCCCTTACCTTGTCCTATTTTGCCTGAGTCGGAGCGCCTGATGGGTCCAGCACAGATGATCTCATCCTCATCCCATATGCCAGTCGGAACTTGTCCCAGGGAATCCCAGGTCTGCCCTGAGCTTCCTATGTCCTTGGGAAAGTCGGTTAATCTCTAGGCTTTGCCGTTCTCGTCTGAGTTTGGGGGTTTGGACCAAATGATTTCAAAGTATCTTCTGGCTTTGACTAGAGTGTCTACAAGGTTGCCTTGTGTGGCTGGAGTTAAAGTTGAAACGCCTAAGAACAATGACAGGATCTGATCTGCAGAGAGAGCACAGTAGAGAAACTGCTGACTCTGCAGTGGGTGAAAAGGAAAAATGGTCAGTGGGGAACTCCCGGAGTCAGGATCTGGGGCTGAAACCCTAGGGTCCCCCCCACACCTTGGAGTCTTTTCCTGCAGTTCCCCCAGGCTTGTACGGTACTCCCGCTCTTCTCTTTGCCGAGGGAGCACCACCCTTTTGCCAGCTGAGGGCCAGTCCTACTATTTGTTCTTAAAGCTCTCAACTTTTCCCTCTGCCCTAGCCCCTGGTGAAGCCAACAGGGACCCAGCTAGCCAGTTGGCTCTGCCCAGAGGGTGCAGGCTGTCCCTGGAAAAGCCACCTCTCCCATGTCCTTGTCAGGGAGACTGGCAGCCGCAGTGCTGTGCCCATCCCAGGCAGAGAAAGAAGGCAGCCAGTGTCAGTCCTAGGGCAGCCACAGGCCTGAGCAGGGTCTGCAGTTTCTGCCACCCCTGCTGTCTCCTACTCTTCCCCAGCTCTGATCTCCCTCCCACTCCCAGCGCACTGCAGGCTCCAAGGGCAGCCTCGAAGGCAAAGGCATAGACGGTCAACCTACAGTGTGGGGACAGGAAAAAGCAGCCACCAGGGTGGAGGTTCTTCCAGCAGAAGTTCAGGGTGCAGGACAGTGAAAGGTATCAGTCTCCAAACTGTCTCCCAACTGTGAACCCCAGAGGAGCCAGCCGTGTGTGCAGAGTGACATCACTTCCCATCTTGCCAGGAGACATGGCTCTTGCCAAGAACGGGCCCTGGGGGTTAGGCGGGCAGCATCTTCATGCCGTTGGCATTAATACAGCCTTGTACCAGAGGCTGCTATTCTGAGCAGAAGATGTCGTCTGGACCTCCAGGGCTGCCCTTTCTGTCCCTGGGCTCCTGGTTCCTGGCACCTAAGCCCCATGGAAGGTCAGCAGCTACTGGACCCCACCCACGTTTGCTGGCTGGGTTTCCCTCTGCAGGGGAAGCTGGACTTCCTTCACATCCAAGTTCAATCGTCCGGCAACTAACTACACCGTATCAAGAACACACCTTACTCCCACCACCTTCCAGCCTTGATTTGTGTCTAGGGGCTGTCCCAGAAATCATGACTGGGAGCTTAAAGAATATGGTCCCTTTGCTGTCACCCAAAAAAGATGCCTGAGACGGAATCCCCTCCTTACCCCCAACCAGAAGGGCAGTCTCGCCTTGGAAACTGGCGTCCACGGTCAGAGCAGATGGAAAGCAGGGCCGGGACTACAGCTTGCTGCGGCTGGTCTCCAAGCCTTCCCAGTCCTTCTGAGGGTTGCTCTTGTTCTTCCCTGGAGTTTCTCAGAAGTACGATCCACACTTGGTGGTGCTCGTTCTCAAAGCACGGTCGGAGGATGCGCAAAGCTGGTCCATACAAAGCCCCAGAAGCAGAACTTCCCATCTGTCATCCTTCCCCCCGGGGGCAGGCTGCCTCCTGCCCCTAGCCCTCAACTCTCATGAAGTACAGTCATCAAGAAAAGGTGGTCTAAATAAAGCCAGAGACTCACTCACTGCACCAATCAGCGCCGCCCGTCCCGGTCTGGGTTTCGACGCTGGCTGGCTGCGCGGCGCGCGCCCGCCAGGAGGTGGCCGTCGGGACGCGAGCGCCGGCAGAGGCGCGCCGCCCGCCCGGAGCAGTGGTGCAGGGTCTGCCCATCGCCTGCTGCTGCTGCTGCAGCCCCGCAGCAGTCAGCACTGCTGACTTGGCCCGGGCGGCGGCAGTGGCGGCGGCGGGCGGGGGAGGGCCTGCAGCAGCTTGGGTTCCAACTGCCCCTGCGCAAGGAGGCCGGGAGAACCCAGAGCCAGGGCCCGACTGGCCAATGCTGGGGCAGTTGATGGGGGTGGGAGAGGAGAGAGCCGAAAAAGGCCCCTGAGTCAGCAATGGTGCATTGGGAAGTGTCCCGGGGACACCTCAGACCTCCGACAAAGTGTCCCTTCTGCGTTTCCTTCCTGACTTGGGGACCAGCTCTAGCTTCATTTCATTTCCCCCTCAACACAATTACTGGATTGCAATGCCCCCTTCTCTGAGGTCTCACGGGAATGGAAAGATGAGAATTCTTTCCCAGGCTCACCCAGGCCCATGTAACTCTCTAGAAGTCACGGTGGGGTCGGCCATGGGGATCTGACACGGCAGGGGCAAGCACAGCCCCGAAGCTAGCCTGTCTGAGATGGGGGCGATGGGTGGTGTGGGGTCATTTCACTCAGTCATTGGGTTTGCTGCCTCAGAAAACCTGGGCCTGCTCACTGTCCTGGGTTGCCTTTCCAGGCTATCAGCAGCTGCTTCCCTCTTTTGCCTGAGCAGTGAGGGGGGCCAGGGTCCTGCAGGAGCTAAACTCCCCTCCCCACCTGTCCCCACCCCCCTCCTATCACTTGGCACCCGCT